GCTGCGCTGCCACCGGCGCGACGCTTGCCGCCGGGCCGACGATCACGAGCGGCGCTGTGTCCGTCCAGTGCAACCGTGCCGGCGGCCGCGTGCTGCAGAGCGGCGGCGACTACCGCTTGGCCGGCCTGCCCTCCGTGAGCGTGGTGCCGTGCGACGGCTGTGCGGCCGCGCTGGCGTGCTTCGATGCGCTGACGGCGTCTTTCTCCGAGTGCGTGTGCAGCTGCCGTGCCGGCGGTGTGGGCGAGGCGTGCCTGCCGTTTGACATGCCGCCTGCGAGTTCCGGTGGTGGCGGTGCGCAGGACTGCGTGAGTGGCGTGACGCTGATGGAGTCCGTGACGGTTGGCGGTGGGCGTGCGACGGCGTGCTTCGACTCGGTGGTGTTCAGCGGACCGATCACTGTGGCGGTGGACCTGCACTTGATGGACGCGTTCGCTGACGCGCTGAACGTGACGCTGCGACACTGCGTGCTTGTGGGCGGCGCGCAGCTGCGGATTGGCGGCCTCAGCGAGAGCACGGCGTACCTGGTGCCGCACGTCCTCGTCAACATGACGAATGTGACGTCGCTGGAGGGCACGATCGTGCTGCATGGCGCGATGCCGCTGAACTCGAGTGTGCTGCTGGCGAACTCGACGCTGCGCGCGACGGTTGGCGGGTCGCAGTACGTGCCGACGACTCCTGGCCACGAGAAATCCCGGTACGGCCCCGCGCTTGTTCTGGACGGCGTCCGGCTTCTGTCGACGTGGTTTGTCATGACGCGGTCGACGCTGGTGTGTGGCGGGGGTTCGTGCGCTGCGATCCTTGTGGAGCGCGGCCTCGGCGTGAACCTGTCCAGCGTCTTCTACATGGACAACTGCGCTGTCAATTCGCAGATGCACGTGATGTACGCTCTTGCGTCGGACCTGCGTGTCAGCGGCGGCTCCGTGTTCTCCATACAGAACAGCTCGTGGAGTGCTCCGAGCACCGAGTACTACAAAGGCGCGTGTGTGTTTGGGGACGTTGTGGTGGCTGGCGGCAGCGTGCTGCAGGTTGTGTCCAGCGAGTTCCGTCTCGGCTTCGCCATGCTCATGGCAAAAACGCTGACTGTGACTGACGGCAGCTGGCTGGTGCACCGCGACAACGCGTTCCGCACCGCCTACGTTGTGCACGTGGACAAATACGACGGCGTGGCGTTCCGCGATCGGAGTGTGTGGTCAATACTTCACAACGACTTTGGTTACGGCTCCTATTCGTCGACCACTGCATACATGACAAGTTTTTGGTCGGCACAAGACGACGCGAGCCCGATCATCTACGGCACGTGCAACGAGCTAAGAGGATCTCCTGTGACTGATTACGATGAAGACCTCTATATTAGGACACCCGTGACGGCATTGGACTGTGGCACTTGCACCGTGGACGCCGTGTGCTTCGCAGCGAGGACGAGCAGCGTCAGCGGCTGTGGGTGTGTGTGCGCTGCTGGCGGCTACGGCGACACGTGTCTGCCAGCTGCGGTTCCGGACGGCCTTGGGCCGCTCCCGCTACCCGACGCGGACGACACGGAGGTCCGCTGCGTGCACGGTGGCAGCATCAGCTCCGTGGACTATCCTGATCCCGGTGTGCGTGGCCTGTGCTTTGTCAACGTTACCTTCACTGCCACGATTCTGCTGGACCTGTGGAGCTTCGACGCGCCAGGAAAGACACTCAACATCACGCTGCTGCAGTGCGTCCTCATGGGCCTGTCGATCAAGGGGAGTGGTGCGAGCGTGCACGTGAACGTGACATCCTCGATGCTGGATTCTGGTGCATTGGAATTTGAGGGTGATTTTGGCGCGAGTTCCCAGATGCTGGTGGTGGGCAGTAAGCTCTTGTCAGCGTCGAGCCATGCTATTCAATTTCCAAGGTTTACTTTGGGTACGAACTCGACGCTGCTGCTGCTCGAAAACAACATGGAGGGGGAGAGTTTCGCAGTTTTTTTCCCCGTTCCTGTTGTTATTGATGGGGCCGGGATCGTTATTAAGGGAAATACGCTGAAGTCAACAAAGATGAGTTACAGCTCGGAGTCTGCGATTTATTATAAAGATGTTGATGTGAAGAACGGCGGCTACATTGACGTCGAGAACAACACGATGAGCGCAGCCATCGGCATTCATTTTCAGTTTTTGGTTTCTGTGAGCTCCGCGGGGCTGCTGAGAGTGGCGGACTGCACCTTCACTGGCAGCACGGAGGCATTCAATTCTGCTCTGGTGCAGTTGAGCGACTCGGTTACGCTTCAGGGTGGTGCGCAGTGGCGTGTGGAGGGCAACAACGTGAGCGCAGCCTCAGTATTGAGTATGCCGTTTTCCTGGTACAGTATTGGACTGTCGGGCAGCGGCACCACCGTGTCGCTTGCTCACAACCGTCAGGCGGACTCGAGTAAAGCCTTTGCGGAAATTACTTCATCGGATTCGATTGTGACGTCACCCGCGCGTTTTGTGGTTGGGTGCAACATGCAGGGCGAGAAGGAGGTGTCGTACGACGGCGTGTTTCCGGAGGACGTGGTGGTCTTCGGGTGCGGCACATGCAACGACGACGCGGCGTGCTACATGCCCGGGACGGAGTCGGTGGACCGCAGCTCGTGCTCGTGCAGCTGCAAGGGCGGATGGCATGGCGCGTCGTGTCTTCCCTTCGAGGTGCCTGACACGGTTGTGCCGCCCTTACCGGAGAGAGCCGTCGACGGCGACACGAGCTGCGTGGTGAACCAGACGCTGACGAGCCTCGCGCTGAACATGTGGAAGACGCACCACTGCTACGTGGGTGTGACATTCAGCGGCGTGGGTGCCGTGCTGACGCTCTCCCTCAACCGTATGCCGCTGCATCTCCCCATCAACATCACGCTCACTGGGTGCACATTCC